CTATTTTTTCTTTCTCTCATCCACCTTCTTTTCATCATAGGCTGCATCTTCTTTATAGTGCTTCCTTAATCCTTCATCATTGTAAACATAATTTTCTAGTTCCAAAAGAATTTTGCTTTGTTCTTCAGGGAGAGTGTCGGGTCCTTACGTATTTTGTCTGCAGATCTGCCTATAGTCCATTTTCCTTGTGTATTTATCACTTTTAATTGTGAGTTCATCTTCCATTGTTGTTGTTGCTTTGTTGTTAGGTGGCATCGTGTCAGTTACAACCCATACCAACCCTGTGAATGACAGAACGAAGCCCTGCCTGATCCTGCCCTGTCCGCACAGTCATTGCTGTGTCTGAGCCCATCACTGCAGCCACTGTGTCAATCCATCTCCTTGAGGGTCTTCCCTTTTTCAGTGACCCTCCACTTTATCAGCTGATCCCTCCTGATAACTTGTCCCAAAGTACGTGAGACAAAGTCTCACCATCCTCACATCTAAGGAGCACTGTGGCTGCACTTCTTCCAAAATACAGACTTGTTCATTTTTCTGGCCGTCCGTGGTACAATCCAAATTCGTCGCCAATACCACAATTCAAAGGCAGCAGTTCTTTGGTTTTCTTTATTCATCATTCAGCTCTCACATGCATATGAGGTGACTGAAAATGCCATGGCTTGGGTCAGGCTCACCTTGGTTCTCAAAGTGACATCTTTGCTTTTTAACACTTCAAAGTGGTCTTTTATTTATTTATTTAAAAATGCATTTTCATGTACAATGAAATACACAAAACTAAAGTGACATGGGTCAATGCATTTTTTTTTTTTCCACAGTGTTCCCTCCCCTCCCCTCCCACCCCTGGTAACCAACAAAGTTCCCTTCCATATATAAACCTTTCCTTGACTTTTTACAATAATGAACTAATACTGTATCGGTCCTTCTGTGACTGAATCCTGTTATCACTTCCTTCACTGATATTGTTTTAGCACTTTTTAAATATTTGTGCTTGTTCTCTTTTTATTTTGATGTGAAGGTTTATCATTTTTCTTTGAGGTTAACCTGTCATTTATAATTTTTTCCCAAGTTTAGAACAGTCCACTGTATCTTGTAGTTGTCTTAACTTCCCTACCACTTAGAAGCTCTGTAACTGCACAGTTTTTTCCCTTTTTGGTTTGTAGTTGTCTTCATTTGTCAATTGATGTCTCTGGTTCTCTGTTTACAATCTCATAGGCTTATTTACTTTGGATACTTCTATAACTGGGTTGGTTTCTGGGTTATGGCATCATGTGTGTTAATGGTCAGTTGTTGTTTGCTGTTATTGGTTCTCTGTCCAAAGGGCTCCCTTTAGCATCTCTTGTAAGACTGGTCTAGTTTTAATAAATTCCCTTAATTTCTGCATATCTAGAAATGTCCTAATTTTACCATCGTATTTGAGGGACAGTTTTGTCGGGTATAAAATTCTTGGTTGGAAATTTTCTTTCAGGGTTTTATATAAACCATCTCTTGTCTTCTTGCTTAAAGAGGTCTTTTGCCGCAGATTTGCCCAATGTGATACATCACTTGATGTCTTGACTGCAGCTCCCATGGGTGTTGACTGTGGATTCCAGTAAAATGTATCCTTAACAACTTCAGTCTTTTCTCTGCTTATCATGATATTGCATATGGGTCCAGTTGTGAGGATTTTTGTTTTCTTTATGCTGAGGTGTAATCCATACTGAAGGCTGCAGTCTTTGATCTTCATCAGTAAGTACTTCAAGTCATCTTCACTTTCAGCAAGCAAGGTTGTGTCATCTGCATATCACAGGTGGTTTTTATTATTATTATTATTTTTATTGTGATTTGGGAGGAATTTTACAAACAAATTCATTTTCCATACAGTAGTTCATACACATTTTGTTTTATGCCATTGACTACAATTCCCCACAGTATAACAGCTCTCTTCCCACTTACTCCCTGTAGTTACCTCTTCTCTGAGTCCTTCTTTGCTATGCATTCCTGCCCCCCGAGCTGTCTCCCTGTGCAAATACCCTTCTGTTCTCCCAGGATTGATCCTTCCAAGGAGTGTATCTACCTGATGTAAATTTTCACCCTATATACTGTTCACTTTTTGGCTGGAAGCCATGGGAGTGAGTTTAATTCCAGACCTGAAGGGTAACTAAGGGCCATAGTCTTGGGGGTCTCACCAGGTTCTATCAGACCAGTAAACGTGGTCTTTTTTCATCATATCACAGTTTGTTAATGAGTCTTCCTCCAATCCTGATGCCACGTTCTTCTTCATGTAATCCAGCTTCTCAGATTATTTGCTCAGCATACAGATTGATCAAGTAGGGTGAAAGGATACAACCCTGAAACACTGCCCTCCTGATTTTAAACGATGCAGTGTCCCCTTGTTCTGTTCGAATGACTGCCTCTTGTTTCATAAATGGATCTGCATGAGCACAATTAATTTCTCTGGAATCCCCATTCTTCCCAATGGCATCCATAATTTGTTAAGTCAGATGCCTCGCATGGTCAATAAAACACAGGTAAACATCTTTCTGGTATTCTCTGCTTTCAGCCAAGATCCATGTGACATCAGCAATGATATCCCTCGTTCCACGTCTTCTTCTGAATCCAGCCTGCACCTCTGGAAGTTCTCTGTCAATATACTGCTGCAACTGTTTTTGAATTATCATCAGCAAGATTTTACTTGATGTGATTTATAATGATATTGTTCAATAATTTCCACATTCTGTGAGATCACCTTTCTTTGGAATGAGTACAAATATGGATCTCTTCCAGTTAGATGACCAGGTAACTGTCTTCCAAATTTCTTAGCATAGCTGAGTGAGTACCCTCAGTGCAGCATCCATTTGTTGAAACATCTCAGTGGGCATTGTCAGTTCTTGGAGCCTTGTTTTTTGCCAGTTCCTTCAGTGTAACTTTGGCTTCTTCCTTCAATACCATTGATTCTTGATCATATGCTACCTCCTGAAACAGCTGAATGTCGACCAATTCTTTTTGGTATAGTGACTATGTATTCCTTCCATCTTCTCTTGATGTTTCCTGAGTCATTCAGTATTATGAAAACACAGTCATCCTCAGAGGGAATATTTTGGGGGAGCAGGGGTGTTTTGATTACCTAGTACCACTCTGACAGGAAATATATACCACAAATGGGATGGCCTCAACAAACAGGAGTTTATTCTTACAGTTTGGAGGCTTTAAGTCCAAGTTCAAAGTGCCAGGCTCTAGGGGCTGGGTGAAAGCCCCTCAACCTTGGGGTCCAGCTCTGCCTCTTGCTCCTGGCCCACTGGAGCTAGAGGTGTTTCTTCACTCAGACAGCTGCTGGCTGCTGAGGCTGAGAAGCCCCAGGGTTCACAAGGAAAAAGGCACAGTCCCAATGTTACTAATCCACATGGCAGGCCATTAACTCAAGTCCACTGTAAGTCCCAAGCATGCCAAAGGCTAGAGACCATTCCCAAGGCTTCTCCTTAAATACAGGAAGCAGACCACATCCCAAAGGCAGTTACTCAGCTGCTTGTGGTAGATCCCACCATGGAGTTGATTGCCAGTCTCATCACGGGAAATAACTACCACCAGCTGCCCAGCCACTCAGTCAGGCCCAGTCAAGTTGACACAAAAACATAACCACCACAAGGGGGCTTGTGGCAGTGTAGTTAAATGGTCACCTTTTTACTTCATGGGGTGCCCTAGAGAGTTCATCAGTTCACAATTGGCTAATCCCAGATTTGGGGGGCCTGCACTATGCAGTACTGCAAATTTGGACTTTAGACCTCAAGCTCTCAATTACTCATGAGAAAGGTCTTTTTCCCTCCCAGAGGCCAGGCAGAGAAAAGCATCCTTATCCATTCCTGGGCTGTAGGTAGGATTGTTTTTTAATGGCATCCTTTCCATGGATGAAGGAGCTCTGGTGGCACAGTAGGTAAGTCACATGGCTGCTAATCAGAAAGTCAGCAGTTCAAACCCACCAGCTGCTCCGTGAGAGGAAGATGAATCAATGTACTTCCATAAAGATTTATAGCGTTGGAAACTCTATGATAGTTGCTATGAGTTGAAATTGACTTGATGGCAGTGGGGTTTGGTTCATAGGGTCATTATGAGTTGGGATCGACCGGATGGCAGTGGGATTGGTTCATAGGTCACTATGAGTTAGGATTGACTCGATGGCAGTGGGTTTTGGTTCATAGGTCACTATGAGCTGGGATTAGCTAGACAGCAGTGGAGTTGGTTCATAGGGTCACTATGAGTTGGGATCTCCTGGATGCCAGTGGGTTTTGGATCATAGGGTCACTATAAGTTGGGATCGACAGGATGGCAGTGGGCTTGGTTCACAGGGTCACTACTAGTCAGGTCGACGAGATGGCTGTGGGGTTGGTTTGCTTTGTTCCATGGATGAGTTACTTTCCTCGGTCCTGGTATTTGATAGCTCTCTGCCCGAGGTCCACAATCATCCAACTGGGCTGGACTGGGTAATGTGCCAAATAGATATCAATGATTATCTTTGCAGAACATAACTATGTCCTGAATGTACCAAACATCTGAAGTTGAAGACCTCAACCAGGGAGGTGCAGAATGGGACAGTGCTGGAGGAGAGCGTCACTCCACTGGTGTGACGGGCCACCCACAGAAGTGTGAGAAGCCCAGGGCCAGCACCACGCTGGAACACCTTGTACACTCACCATGCCCTCAGCCAGCACAGCACCCAGACACCCCACATACTCGCCACATCTCTCACCCAGCACAGCACCTGACACCCCACGAGATCTCCACACCATCACCCAGCATCACATCTGGATACCCTGCACGCTCTCTACTCTTCTCACCAAGGCCTGATCATGGATCATGAGAAAAACGTTGGACTGAGGCTAGAGGTGTGAGGAAATTCCTATCTGAGGAAAGGTGAGTGATAGGAAAAGCTTAATTTGGATGACTCATAAACCTTGACTAGAATAAACATTTACAAGGACAACAATTACAAAGTTCACAGAAAGAAAAGACATTTCCCCTTCATTTACCTGGTGAAAGCCCAGATAGTCCACGATCGTAGCTGATGCATAAAATATCATTCCTTCCGCGCTCACCACCAGAGCAAAGCCATTGAGAGACTAGAAGAAAGAAGGGGAACACTGAGGTCAGCTGCTGGAGGCATCCATGAAACCCCCACAGAAAGGGGCAGACAGGCCTTCTGTTCGCATTTCTGCCATTTCCTCCTGTCCCCCAGCACAAATCCGTAGCTGCGGGACCCCCGTTTTTGTTTATTTATTGCCAGTTTGTAACAACAGGTCCCGAGGTGGCAGGTGTCGGCTCAGACTTTGCTCCTGCCTTGCAGATGTATATTTTATAAACTCTAAACACCACCTAAGAGAGTGAGACACCAGGGGTGCATGAAAGAAACACAAGCAGAGAACCATTTATTTGACCCGTGGGGACTGTCCACCTTCATGCATTTCCTTCTCTACAATACCACGGGCACTTTCTTTTTAAGAGTTTTTATCATGAAAAAATAGTGACTCTTCCGGCTGCTCTCCTTTGTCCATGAAATCACCACGTGCTTTGTCTCCGGTCTGTCACGAGGTGACAGGCTGAGTCATCCTTGCATCTCTGGCATCAACACCATCCGATCGGGATTATTTTTCATGAATGCTTAGAATCGATTAACTTCACTCGGTAGTTATAATCTACGTGACAGTAAACTGGTCTATAATTGCCTTTTCTTACTTTGAAGGCAATTACAACTAATCATCAAAGAGTGAGTTGGACACGGGCCTGGCAAGCCCACAGGTCAGCCCCTGTTTTCCGAGCAGACCTCCTGGCCTCGCCTACGTGGCTCCTTGGGCTGACCGCCGGGGCTCACCTGAGCACGGACTTACTCCCAGCCCTTCTGCTCTCACCTGGCCCTGGCTGCCAGTGGTCCCATCTCTGGTCCAAAGGCCGAGCCTCATGCCCCTTCCAGGGCCCACCTGGCCACCCAGCTGGTGTCCACAGGATGCCTGGCACATACCATGAAATGCCAGGAGCCAGAAGGCACCAGAATTAGTGGGCCAAGGGCCATGGGAGGCAAGAGGAGAATGTGTGGCCAGGACCCTTGGGGCTGGCCTGACTCCACCTCACAGGCCCTCCTGGGGCCCCACCCGCAGGACCTAAGGATAACAGTAACCTCCCCTTTGAGCTCCATGCTCTCGTCCCCCTACCCCCAGCGAGAAGGCAGGGTGGCTGCATCCATACTGCAACTACACGGAGCTGTGACTGTCTGCACTCTCCACCCCAAACCAGAGTCTACTAGCGGAATCCAGGGTCTGGAATCACCTGGCGTCACCGGCGCAGCCCGGCAATGGCCTCAGGGGCTCTTCCCGGCAGACTCTACCAGGCTGGGCTTTCTCTGCTGTGCACACCTGGTAGCTCAGCCTCTGTCTCCCCTTGTCACCACCAGCGACATAGCTGCTAAGCCCCAGTGCTGCTGTGTCAGTAAACAAACTGGGGTCTGCTCCCAGCAGACCTGAGGCTCCGCCCCCATCAGACCTGAGGCTCCGCCCCATCAGACCTGGGGCTCCGCCCCCATCAGACCTGGGGCTCCGCCCCCATCAGACCTGGGGCTCTTCCTTGACTGGACCACCCAGTGCTATCTGCCACTGGGGGTGAGAGACAGCTGGGAGGAGAAGAGCATGGCCCTCACCCCTGTGGGGCCAGAGCTCACCAGCTCCCCTCCCCCACCGTCCACCTTCCCCACCCTTGAAGGCTTGGACATGGAGACGGGCTGAACCTGCCCCCACTGAGAGGCGGGTGATGGACAGGCAATGAGGAAAGGGAAAGGGGTGTAGATGGGGAGGGTCATCGGAGATGGAGGAACTTTTGAAGAGGGGAGGTTTACATGGCCCCTTGGGGAAAAGGGGGTGCCTGTGAGGCCCAGGAGTCTGGGTGGGGACAGTGCTATGTGGGGATTGGAAATGGGGGACACATGGGGCAGAGAAGGGGCAGTCAGGCCTGAAGACAGGTATGGCCAGTGCTCCCCAGAAAGCTACCCGCCTCTCAAGTTTCCCGACCCACCTCACCTGGGGGCTCTGGGCCCTGTCCTCGCTGGGCTGCATCCTGGAGGTGGGGGGTGGGGGGCGATGAGAGAGAAAGACTAGGAAAAACACCAGGCAGGCGGGACCCGGCCTTGTTCCCAGGACCAAGCCCAGGGCCTAGCAATCTTCGATGATATGGAGCTGCCACCAGAAGGGGGAAATCGAGGCAGAGGGGCCTGGGTGACTCCCAAGCACTTAGCCCTCTCTCCTGCCCCTGAGGAATTTATTGTAGATTTTGACATGACAAGGAAACGCCTCCATTTCCCCCAGGTAGACTAAAACGGACTGCTGAGTTGTAGAAAAACAGGTTACATCCTTTGAACACCAGAGTGTGTGGCTTATGATATTACTTCAGCCAAATAATTGCTTAACTCTTCATTATGCAAAAGTTCCAACATACACAAAAGTATAGGAAACAGGGGATTCAGTATGCTTAAACCCATGTCCCCATCAGCCGGCCTCAGCGATGACCAACTCACGTCTACTTCTGCCTCATCTTCCTCTCCCACTACTAAACTATTTTGCCATTATTTTAATTGTCACTTCACTGATTACTAATGATTGAGAAGACATTTTATACATTCACAGGTAATTTGTATTCTTTTTAAAACTGCCTGGGCACATCATTGGCCAATTTTTCTAATACGGTTTTTAAATAGGAGCTCTGGTGGTGCAGTGGTTAAGTGCTCAGCTGCTAATCAGAAGGTCAGCAGTTGGACTCCACCAGCTGCTCTTCAGGAGAAAGATGTGGCATTCGGCTTCCATAAAGATTGACAGCCTGGGAAACGCTCTGGGGCAGTTCTCCTCTGTTCTCTAGAGGTGCTGTGAGTCGGAATTAATTCGGCGGCAGTGGGTTTTTGGGTAGTTTTAAATATCAATATCTTAGAGCCTTTAAAATACTGATATTGGAGACTTGCAGAGACTGGAGGGTAGTGGCAGTTGCCTAAACCCAAATCTCCCACACATTCTAAAAACTGAGAGGACAATAACTCGAACAGGCAAAACTACATAAACTTGTCCTTGGCATAACTAGAACACAGAAAAATGCTATGAGCTAAAAATTACGTGTAAACGGAAAAAGAAACACCAAATCTTAGTAGCATAAACTGGTTATGTCTCTTGCACACAAAAAAGTACATGAGAGCTGAATAGGAGATATCAAAGAGCAGCTCAAGAAGACAAAGTCAGTTATGATAATAAAATGCAAAAAGACCTGGAGTTAGAAACCCAAAAGGGAAGAACATGCTCAATATTTCTCAAGCTGAAAGAACTGAAGAAAAAAATTCAAACCTCAAGTTGCAATATTGAAGAATTCTATGGGCAAAATATTGAATGATGTGGGAAGGATCAAAAGCAGATCGAAGGACAATTTTGTACAGAGAATACTGTACAGAAAAAGAACTGGTCGACGTTTGTCCATTTCAGGAGGCAGCGTAGGGTCAAGAACCAATGGTACTGAAGGAAGAAGCTGAAGCTACGCTGAAGGAATTGGCGAAGAACAAGGCTCCAAGCATTGACGGAATACCCATTGCAATGTTTCAACAAATGGATGCTGCACTGCAGGCACTCACTTGGCTATGCCAAGAGATTTAGAAGACAGCTACCTGGCTGACTGACTAGAAGAGATCCGTATTTGTACCCATTCCAAAGAAAGGTGATCCCACAGAATGTGGAAATTATCTAACAGTAACATTAATATCACATGCAAGTAAAATTATGCTGAAAATAATTTAAAAATGTTTGCAGCAGTATATTGACAGGGAATTGCCAGGAAATGAAAACTGGATTTGGAAGAGGAGGTGGAACGAGGGAGATCATTGCTGATGTCAGATGGATCTTGGCTGAAACCAAAGAATACCAGAAAGATGTTTACTTGCACTTTATTGACTACGCAAAAGCATTCAACTGTGTGGATCCTAACAAATTATGGATAACATTGCTAAGAATGGGAATTCTAGAACACTTACTTATACTCATGAGGAACCTGTATGTATACCAGGAGTCTGTCATTCAAACAGAACAAGGGGATACTGCATGGTTTAAAATCAGGAAGGGGGTGTGTCAAGGTTGTATCCTTTTACCCTGCTTATTCAATCTATATACAAATAATCCAAGAAGCTGGACTGTATGAAGAAGAACATGGCATCAGGATTGGAGGAAGACTCATTAACAACCTGTGATATGCAGACAACACACCTTTGCTTGCTGAAAGTAAAGATGACTTGAAGCACTTACTGATGAAGATTTAAGACTACAATCTGCAGTATGGATTGCACCTCAACATAAAGAAAATGAAAATCCTTGCAACTGGACCCATAAGTAGCTTCACGATAAATGGACAAAAGATTGAAATTGTCAAAGATTTCATATTACTTGGATCTTGTTCTGGTTACCTATACTGCTCTGACAGGAATATACCACAAATGGGATGGCTTGAAGAAATAAAGTTTATTCTTTTACAGTTTGGAGGCTTTAAGTCTAAGTTCAAAGGTGCCATCAAGTCATGTCCGACTCAAAGCGACCCTATGCACAGCAGAATGAAACACTGCTCTAGGGGCTGGGTGCAAGCCCCTCAACCCTGGGCTTCAGCTCTGCCTCCTTCTCTCAGCCCAATGAAGCTAGAGGCTTTTATTCACTCAGCTGCTGGCTACTGAGGCTGACAAGCCCAAGGTTGACAAGTAAAAAGGCACAGTCTTGATGTTATCAAACCACACAGCAGGCCATTCATTCAAGTCCATTGAAAGTCCTAAGGTTGGCAAACTATGGCAGGCTGCTGAATAATGACACGTCTACATGCAGGGTTCAAGTGTGCTATAAGCTAGAGACCATTCCCAAAGCTGTTTCTTATATACAGGGAGCAGGCCACATACCCAAAGCAGCTACTCAGCTGCTCTAATCGATTCCACCATGGAGTTAATTACCAATCTCACCATGGGAAATAACTGCATTCAGCTGCCTAGCCACTCAACCAGGCCTAGCCAAGTTGACGCACAAACTTAACCATCACAGATCTACAATCAACACCCATGGAACCAGCAGTCAAGAAAGTAGATGTTATATTGCATTGGGCAAATCTGCAGAAAAAACCTGTTTAAAGTGTTGAAGAGCAAAGGTGTCACTTGGAAGATTAAGATGCACCGAACCCAAGCAGCATAGTGCTAAAGGCACTTGACTGCTAACCAGAAGGCTGGTGGTTCAAACCCACCAGCCACCCCTCGGAAGGAAGGTTGGGCAATCTACTTCTGTAGTGATACTGCCTCAGCAACCCAAGGAGGGGTCACTATGAGTCGGGTCTGACTCGACAGCACATAACAACAACAACTCAAGCCATGGTATTTTCAATCACCTCATATGCATGTGAATGTTGGACAATGAACAAGGAAAACCAAAGAAGAGTTGATTGATGCCTTTGAATTGTGGTGTTGGTGAAGAATACTGAAAATACCATGGACTGCCCAAAGAACAAACAGATCTGTCATGGAAGAAGTGCTGCCAGAATGCTCCTTGGGAGTGAGAATGGCCAGAATTTGTCTCATCTCTTTTGGTCATGTTGTCAGAAGGGACCATTCCCTGGAAAAGGATATCATGCTTAGTAAAGTGGAAGGTCAGCAATAAAAGGGGAAGACCCTTGACAAGATAGACTGACACAGTGGCTGCAATGATGGGCTCAAATACAGCAAGAATTGTGAGAATGACACAGGACTGGACAGTGTTTTATTCTGTTGTACATAGGGTTGCTATGAGTTGGAGTGGACTCAGTGGCACCTAACAACAACAACAACATGATCTCTCCACAAGAAAGTAGAGAAACAAGAGCCAGGTAAGTCCAGGGTAAGCAGAAGGAAGTTCAAAAATAAAAATAAGGGTTGAAAATTGCTTAAAATAGTCAAATACCAGAGAACATTAACAAAGTCACAATTTGGTTCTTTGAAAGGACTGAAGTTTTTAGTAAGACTGATGGAGAAAAATACAAATTACTGACACCAGGAGTCAAAAAAGGTACACCATTACAGATCATACAGACATGGAAAGGATAACACATAGTGAGAATAATATTTAGTAAATTAAACAATTTATATGAAGTGGACAAATTCCTTGAAAAAGCACAAATTAACAAAAGTGATAAAAGAACTAAAAAAATCTAAATAAACCAATATCTATTAAACAAATTTAATTTATAATTAAAACTTTCCCACACACAAAAAAACTCAAGACTCAGACCAAAAAACATAAAATACCTAGGCATATAGCTAATGAAAGATGTGCAAGACCTGTATAGTGAAAATGATGAAACATTACTGAGAGAAGACCTAAATAATAAATGAGCTATATCATGATCATGGGTTGAAAGAGTCAATAAAGTTAAAATATCCAACCTTCCTAAATTGATCTATAGATACAATACCATCCCAATCATAATCCCAGTGGGGTTGCTTTGTGTTTGTTGTTGTAGATTTTAATGAGCTGATTCTAAAATTTATATAGAAGTACACAGGGTGTACGATAGCTGAAACAATCTTGCGAGAGATGAACAAAATTTTAATATGACACCGATGGACTTTAAGACTTACTATAAAGCTATACTAAGAATAGACACATGGATTTTGAGCAAGGTGCTAAGTCAATTCAATGGGAAAAGGAACCTGTTTAAATAATGTTGCTGGGACAGCTTTATTTGTATGAAAAAAAATGAGCCTTGACCCTATCTCATTACATACACAAAAATTAATTCAAGATATATCATAAACCCAAATATAAAACTCAGAACCACAAAACTTCAAGAAGAAAACACCTTCATGACTTTGGGGTAGGGAGATTTGGATAGAACATAAAACCACTAATTATTAAAGAAATAATACCTCAATAATAAGATTTCATTGAAAGACACTGTTAAAAAATGAAGGGACAAGCTACAGAGTGAGGGGAAAAATAATTCACAGAATACTGACAAAGGACTTGTAACCAAAATATATAAACAAATTCTATAAATCAACAACCTAATTTTTTAAAATGGGCAATAGCCTTGAACAGATACTTCACGAAAGGAGGTAGAGGATATACACAGGAAATGTGCTCACCATCACTGGTCATTAGTGAAATGCAAATTAAACAACACTAAGATACTATTGTTTCAAGATCTGTCCTAAAGTACAATGCCGTCAGTGATAGGATAATATCCATACTCCAACAAGGAAGACCAGTTAATACAACTATTATTCAAATTTATGTACCAACTACCAAAGCCAAAGATGAGGAAATTGAAGATTTTTTTATCAGCTTCTGCAGTCTGATTTGACCAAACATGCAATCAGGATGTCTTAATTATCACTGGAGACTGGAATGCAAAAGTTGGAAACAAAGAAGAATCACCAGTAGTTGGAAAATTTGGCCTTGATGACAAAAATGATACTGGAAATCACATGATAGAATTTTGCAAGACCAACAACTTATTCATTGCAAATACCTTTTTTCAACAACACAAACAGTGGCTATATACATGGACTTTTCCAGATAGAATACATAGGAATCAGATTGACTACATCTGTGGTAAGACGTGATGGAAAAGCTCAGTATCTTCAGCCAAAACAAGGCCAGGAGCTGATTGTGGAACAGACCATCAACTGCTCATATGCAAGTTCAACTTAAGGTTAAAGACAGTTAAAACAAGTCCATGAGAACCAAAATATGGTCTTGAATATATCCCTCCTGAATTTAGAGACCATCTAGAGAACAGATGTGATGCACTGAACACCAATGACTGAAAACCAGAAGAAATGTGGGATGACATCAAGAGCATCATCCATGAAGAAAGCAAGAAGTCATTAAAAATACAAGAAAGAAAGAAAAGATCAAAATGGATGTCAGAAGAGACTCTGAAACTTGCCCTTGAGTGGCCAGTAGCTAGAGTAAATGGAAGAAATGACAAGATAAAAGAGCTGAACAGAAGATTTCAAAGAGCAGTTCGAGAAGACATAGACAATTACTATAATGAAATGTGCAAAGACTTGGAGTTAGAAAACCAAAAGAGAAGAACACACTCGTCATTTCTCAAGCTGAAAGAACTGAGGAAAAACTTTAAGTCTTGAGTTGCAATATTGAAAGATTCTATGGGCAAAATATTGAATGATGCAGGAAACATCAAAAGAAGATGGAAGGAATACAC